CCGTGGCGGTTGCTTAGCCCTAACTCCCTCATCCTTCAGGGTGCATGAATTCCCGAATTAACATAATTATAATACCACGATTACTCGCAGAAACTGTAATGAGTGTGAATATATAATATTGCGTGGTAAAATATTTAACTGTAGTTTGTTTCATCTCCCCTTTCTCCGAGAAATCATGCGCGCGAACCCTTTCAAATGTTTTGTGTACTGACGGCGTTCGAGAGTCAAAAGCGAGACTTGGGTGATGGTGGAAACCTGTCTGATACAAGGTCGGCGATCGCAGATATATAAGCATTCACCTTCGCTGTTCGCTGAGATCTAACAATTTATTATATGTCTGCATTTGGAGATATATGACAACCGAATGCATTACCAGATCTGCTTATATTGCAACTGCTAGATAATGGCGTTTTATGTGTACACCTTCGCAGCCGCCATAGTTCTTCTGGTAAGTAAGGATTATGATGATATTGTAAGAAAACAAAAGTAAATCATAGCAGAAGAAATGTTTGCCTTTACTGGTAATATCTTTTAGGTGACGGTGGAGGCGCAGTTTAACAACAAATTCCCAGATTGTAAAGCGCTGGCGGAGGCCACAGCGACATCGGGTGAGCGATGCTCCACATCGCCGCTGTGGTCGAGGTGCACAGAAGTCGATGCCGTACTGGAATGCACGCCAGAATGTCCGCCAAACGTCTTCAAGCAATGTCACGACGGCGGTAGAACAGGGATTTATTTGGCAAGTGGATGTGCGCCTGGGATTGGGTGCGTGTTCGTGCATTTGTGAAGGTGCATGGGTGATTGTACACACGCGTGCGCGTAGGTGTGCGCGTGTGAGCGCGGATGCGCACGTGTGCTTGGGCGAGGATTCATGTGCGTCTTGTGTAGGCCTACGTGCCCGTGTGCGTGAGTATGTGTGTGCGCGTGCGTGTGCGTGCATGCATGCATGCGTACACGTGCACACACTTGTGCTTCACACAATGTTTACGTTCTCGGTTACACATACTATACGTTTGAATACTTGTGACGAAACCGCAAACATAGGGACATGGTGTGTGAAGATTTCTATGCATACTAAATCTTGCTAGCTTGACTGCAAACTTTATTTAACTAATGACGAAAGAATTTTTGTGTGTGAAAAGTTTCAAGTAATAAACTACATGTAGAATATAATAAGACTCGACAAGATAACCTTATTTTATAATTTGCTATAATTCTTTTGGGTTGTCTACATCTGTTAGGATTGATATGTATACTTTATTAGTATATTATTATAAGTTATACTGTTGTTATTTATTGTTTATTTAAGTTTTCTCCACAAAAGCAGTCCGCCAGTGCCCAGATGCCGCTCCAGCCACGGGCATATAGCGGCTGTAGTCTATACAGTCTTGTTCATGCCTATGAAAGGACACAGGATTTCCTGTACAATCGTAGCGTCGGGTGGGCAGTTGCAATTCGCTGGATTGCACATCCTCGGCGGTCTGCCCCCATACGGAGTCCTAAATCCCGGTACCAGGATTTCATTTCCATTCAAGATACATTTGCAGTTAGCCCGAGTGTGCACAGTAACCTGTAAAAATATTAATAAATTTCCTAATGGTAAAAAGACAAGACAGCAAAAATACCAGCGGTTTAATCAGATGTATACGATCATAATTTCAAAGTGAATTAGTAGTGGGTATTTTTTAGCAGATTATTTTATGATTATAATAGATAGGTAAGATATAGAACAGAAATACGAACATGGTCACGTAAATGATATGCATTTTATTTCCGACTTTCAACCAATTAGCATATGTAGGTAACTATCGATATCGTTCCCTAATTTATAAGTGATTAGTATACAAGCAGGTAATCCTTCAATGTGCATTTGTTCATATATACACTTGCTTGGTATGCAGTTTCGTTAGAAACACTAGCTTATTCAATCACAACATGCCCAGAATAACTACAATTGCTCGCTGTCTATAAGTATCTGGTAAACGAATTTATATATAGAGAGATCGCACATTTATATCAAGATTTTTATCATAATCAAACCATTTATTTTTTAGTAATAATATTCATTCAGTACAAATATTCGCATGTCTACCATTCATAAACACAATCAACGTGACAAACCTATAGCTAGTTATGTTTTGAAACACAAATGTGAGAGCAGCCCTATCAGGTGACTAGCCTGTACAAAGACCCTGGGGCCATGACTACGTGACTCAACTAAATTATTCACACTCATTACAGTTTCTGAGAGTAATCGTGGTATTATAATTATGTTAATTCGGGAATTCACCCTGAAGGATGAGGGAGTTAGGGCTAAGCAAACGCGCACGGATGCGCATACACACACAGATGTTTTTTCACTTTCAAATCGTTCAAGGTCAATTAATGGGAAAGTATAATACTTTTAGAACGCCGTGTAGGTTTATAAATAAGGCCTATATATATATATCATATATATATGTATATATATATTATTATTATTATTATATATTATTATAACGCAGAAACGCGCGCATGATTTCTCGGAGAAAGGGGAGATGAAACAAACTACAGTTAAATATTTTACCACGCAATATTATAACATTCTGGCGTGCATTCCAATACGGCATCCACTTCTGTACACCTCGACCACAGCCGCGACGTAGAACAACGCTCACCCGATGTCGCTGTGGCCTCCGCCAGCGCTTTACAATCTGGGAATTTCAGGTTAAACTGCGCCTCCACCGTCACCTAAAAGATATTATCAGTAAAGGCAAACATTTCTTCTGCTATGATTTACTTTCGTTTTCTTATAATATCATCATAATCTTTACTTACCAGAAGAACTATGGCGGCCGCGAAGGTGTACACATAAAACGCCATTATCTAGCAGTTGCAATATAAGCAGATCTGGTAATACATTCGGTTGTCATATATCTCCAAATGCAGACATATAATAAATTGTTAGATCTCAGCGAACATTAACAAGATGGCTGCTTATATATCTGCGATCGCCGACCTTGTATCAGACAGGTTTCCACCATCACCCAAGTCTCGCTTCTGACTCTCGAACGCCGTCAGTACACAAAACATTTGAAAGGGTTCGCCAAACGTCTTCAAGGAATGTCACGACGGCGGTAGAACAGGGATGTATTTGGTAAGTGGATGTGCGCCTGGGAAATAGGTGCGTGTTCGTCCATTTGTGAAGGTGGGTGGGTGGGTGATTGTACACACGTGCGCGCGTGGGTGTGCGCGTGTGAGCGCGGATGCGCACGTGTGCTTGGGCGTGGATTCATGTTGACGCGTGTAGTGCCCGTGTGCGTGGGTGCGTGCGTGTGCGTGCGTGCATGCGTACACGTGCTCACTTCACACTTGTGCTTCACACAGTGTTCACGCTCTCGGTTACACATATATACTATACGTTCGAATACTTGCGTTAAATTTGTGAAGAAACCGCAAACATAGGGACATTATGTGTGAAGATTTCTATGCATACTAAATCTTGCTAGCTTGACTGCAAACTTTATTTAATAAATTTATTAATATTTTCACAGGTTACTGTGCGCAACCGGGCTAACTGCAAATGTATCTTGAATGGAAATGAAATTCTGGCACCGGGCTTTAGGATTCCTTACGGGGGCAGACCACCGAGGATGTGCAATCCAGCGAATTGCAACTGTCCACCCGACGCTACGATTGTAAAGGAAGTACCGTCACCATGCCCCAGAAAGAACATGACTGTATAGATTACTACAGCCGCTATATGTCCGTGGCTGGAGCGCCATCTGGGCGACTGGCGGACTGCTTTGTGGAGAAAAATGAAATAAACAATAAATAACAATAGTATAACTTGTAATAATATAGTAATAAAGTATACATATCAATCCTAACAGATGTAAACAACCCAAAAGAATTATAGCAAATGATAAAATAAGGTTATATTGTCGAGTCTTATTATATTCTACATGTAGTTTATTACTTGAAACTTTTCAGAAATAAATTCTTTCGTAATTATTCAGTCGAGTCACGTAGTCATGGCCCCAGGGACTTTGTACAGGCTAGTCACCTAATAGGGCTGCTCTCACATTTGTGTTTCAAAACATAATTAGCTATAGGTTAGAAGTCACATTGATTGTGTTTATGAATGGTAGGCATGCGAATATTTGTACTGAATAAAAATTATTGCTAAAAATAAATAATCCGATTATGATGAAAAACTTGATATAAATGTGCGATTTCTGTGTATATAAATTCGTGTACTGGATACTTATAGGCGGAGAGAAATTTTAGTTAGCCTAGGCATGTTGTAATTGAAAAAGCGAGTGTTTCCAACGAAATTGCATTTCAAGCAAGTGTATGAGTACAGAAATGCATATTGAAGGATTTCCTGCTCGCATACTAATTACTCATAAACTATAGGGAACGATACATATGTAGCTCAGTAGCTGATTGGTTGAAAGTCGGAAAGAAAATGCATATCATTTACGTGACCACGTTCGTGTTTCTGTTCTATATCTTAACGGCCTACCTATTCATTATAATCATAAAATAATCTGCTAAAAATACCCAATACTAATTCATTTTGAAATTATGATCGTATACATCTGATTAAACCGTTGGTATATATGTCTCGTTTTTTTAACATTAGGTTTCTGCGTTATAATAATAATAATAACAATAATAATAATATATATATATATATATATATATATATATATATATATATATATAGTACTACTTACTTAATAAACTACGACGTACGTTACTAATTACTTTACTATTAATAGTACCTAGAAGTAGTTAGTACGGTAACGGTAAATGATATGTTATATT